TCATATTGACATTGCAGTAATATAACACACATATTCGAATTTCGATCGAGAGAGAGAGAGAGAGAGAGAGAGAGAGATGTCAGCACTGACGCCAATAGAATGAATCGATGGCTCCCCCATTATCAATATTGATTATGTGACCTACAAACCATCAGTGGTACATGCCAAATTCAGTTTGATTCATATCAAAAATGCTGGGCATTGCTTCTATACAAGTTTTTATATCAAATATAATCATGTATACGCAGCTCTTAATTGCTTTGCTTGTACAAAAAATTTGAATTTCCTTCCCTACTAAGTAGAGATTCAAAGAAAGGCGTGAAGTCCACTATAAACAGGGTAAATTAATACTGTGAAAGCGAATGAATTTTAAGAAACACAATCATATTCAAAGAATTGTGGTCCCCCGCTTTCGGTGTCTTTTTGGATGAGATGTCATTTTTATGACATTTTGTGTCTAATATGAACACCCTATCATAAGTAATCTATTAAGAAATTATCACTGAACTCCAAGGTCAAGGTCAAAGGGTTAACGTTGTTGGTATCCAATGAAAAGTCTTCTCAAAAGGAACACATATGTGATGTATGAAAGTCCTAGCCCTTACCATTCAAAAGTTATGGTCAAGGTTAAAGTTTTATCATAAGTACTTAAATCTCCAAGGTCAAGGTCAAAAGGTCAAGGATGTTGGTATCAAATGAAAGCTCTTGCCACAAATAATACAGATGTGAAATATGAAAGTCCTGGTATCTACTGTTCAAAAGTTGTGGCCAAGGTAAAAGTTTTGGAAAAGTAGGACAAACTCCAAGGTCAACGTCCAAGGGGCAAAGTTATTGGTATTCAATTAAAGGTCATCTCACAAGAATAATATATTTGATGTATGAAAGCCCTAGCTCTTACAATTTAAAAGTAATGGTCAAAGTTAAAGTTTTTTCATAAGTATTGAAATCTCCAATGTCAAGGTCAAAAGGTCAAAGTTGTTGGTATCCAAAAAAAGGTCTTGCTACAAAGAATATATGCGTAAAATATGAAAGTCCTAGTACCTACCATTCAAAAGTTATGGCCAAAGTAAAAGTTTGGAATTTTCGTGTAAAAGTGGGTCAAACTCCAAGGTGAAGGTCAAAAGGTCAAATTTGGTGGTACCCAAGGAAAGTTTTTGTTACAAGGAATACATATATGAAATATGAAAGTCTTAGTTCCACTAAATCAAAAGTTATGGGCAAGGTTAAAGTTTTTGTGACGGACGGACAGACCGACGGACAGAGGACAGACAGACAGACGGACAGAGGAATGAGATTTAATGTCCCCTCGCTTTCGCGAAAGCGGGGGACAAATATATTGAATATCAATGTTAACTTACCGCGTTGTGCAAACAGAACATTCTGTGCAGTTATTTGTTTTATTGTTACCCATCCCATGCATTTGCAAAGCAAACTTTACAATAGTATCGGTTTCCCACGTAATGTTTAGCAGTGCGGCAGTCAGATAAAATCAAAGTGTTTTGCTCAAGTAAGTAGTATATGTTACTATAGAGAAATAATTTTTCCGTATTATCGTAAATGCAAGGCCTGATTTAAACGTTGCTCAGATGTTTTAGTAACATAAATAGTGAAAAGACCTACATACCACATCAACCAGTGAACCACCTTGAGATGAAGGTCTCGCAGACACAAAGCACGGAACTAACCATTGCAGACATATTAAAAAGCTTCGATCGATCCGCCGACCTAAATAAATACATGTACCTGTAGTCCTAGACGAAACACTACGGGATAGTTTAAAATGATTAAAAATCTTTCAAGAACTATTTTTTAGCGGACTATTACCTGTTGGAGGGGAGTAGTAAGGATGTTATGTTCTGGAGGGACCTAAACTTTAAAATGCCAATTACAATGAGGCGCATTAAAGTGGTAAAATTTTCCGTTGGAATGGAACGTTTTGAGCTATCTTTAGAACGTTTATTGTCATCTTATGACACGCCCATCTCTTCAGAAATGGATAAAACGGTCAATTTGTTTATTCGAATACCTGTAGAATATGTTTTCCATAATTATGATAGCCAATCAAATTGACGGTCTAAATAAACACCGAGAAAACGCGTGTTCGACCGAAACATGAGTTGTGGTAACTTCAATAGACATGATCAGTTCAAAAATATATTCGTCAATCGGAGTTCCTCGGATGACTCGTACCTCGCACATAACCTCGGACGTAAACGGTGATCTTAATTCCATCTTGCTGATTCAGTCATGTGATCTTATTTGAATTTCATTCTTGAAAATATTATACTTTTGAAATCCGAGTTACTTTGATGCACGCCCAACACTGTGTTCTTGCTTTCAAAGAATACTACAATGAAGCGCATTGAAATGGTAAAATTTCCCGTTTGGCTGGAACGTTTTGAACTATCTTTAGAACGATGATTTTCATGCAATGACACGCCCATTTCTTTAGAAAGAAAAAATCGGACAACTGGTTCATTCGAATACCTGTAGAACAGGTATTCTATAAATATAGTAGCCAATCAAATTGATGGTCTGCATAAACACCGAATAAGCACGTGTTCGACCAATACTTGTGTTATATGGTACCTCCAATAAACATGATAAATTCATAATAAATGACAAATTTGTTGCAATACGTGTTTTATAGAAGCGGAAACTCTAAACTCTCTATCTTATAACTTTAAAAATCTGCATATTGGTAAAACTCATGTTACTTGTCACGAGGAGTGGGGTGTTATAAACATTACGACGAATATTTCTTTTTGTGTTTCTAAAGAAATGGGCGTGTTATTATGTTATAATTGACGTTCAAAACATGACTCAGAACGTTTCATCCAAACGGAAAATTTTACCACTTCAATGCGCTTCATTGTAACATTTGGTTGTAATTTACACGAGGAATTACACAAATAAAGAAACATTTTCTAAGAACTTTAGGCAGAGCGGAATATGAAATGAGTGACAAGGCAGTTTCCGGCGGAGAAATGTAGCGATCTGATGCGTATTCCTCCACCTATCACATCCGAGGTTTGAATGGAGCGTAGCGGAGTCAGCCGAGGATTGCCGATTGAGAATTCGTTGCAATTTGAGTTTTACAGAAGCGGGGACTCTCTAATTTTTTCTTCTAATTTTTTTAAAGCTCGATTTCAGTGTAACTCATGTTTGTCGCGAAGAGTGGGGTGTCCTAAAACATGACGGCCAATATTTCTTTCTCGTTTCTAAAAATATGGGCCTGTCATTATGTTATAATTGACGTTCAAAACATGACTCAGAACGTTTCATCCAAACGGAAAATTTTACCACTTCAATGCGCTTCATTGTACATTTTGAATGACATAAAGAAAGTCTGTCTATGTTTCACAAGGACTTTTTCGTCTGTGAACTTTGGGAAAATTAGCTTGGTAGGATAGCAACTCGCTTTTTTTTTTACTGTAATGCTAAATTGGCAAAGAGAAACAATACCGATTAAAGTTGAATGATGTTTATTGTAGAGTCAAAAGATAGAAAGTGAATTTGCTAAATTCACAATCTATCCGGAATCTACTTCGGAATTGAACTCTCAACAAATAAAAGATAGAGGAAAACTATCGAAATGACGTGAGACATTAACTACATTACTGTTTTTTTTCAAACGGGAAATTGATTTCTACAGTATAGATTAAAATCATATAGTATACAAGTGCAATCATCTTGGGATAATATATATATTTTCTGTACTATAGAATACATAGATGAAACATTCATTAAGGGAAGTTTCAATACAGATTGTTATAATTCTTGGGTGGAGGGGTTACTTTTTATATACTTTTTAAAAAGTTTTATTATAATTAAAACAGTACAATTATCTTGACATATTTTTAAATTCGTACCTTTAGTCTCGTAAGTCGTCCAGGATAATCATCTTGGTCTGATAACATTGCGACCTATCACATGCTGATATCTAATCACTGAAGGTTCATTTTGTGTCTTGTTTCATTTTCAATTATCTGAAATACGCAAGAATTAAATAAATCACATTAAAATATTTGAAAAAAATATAAACTTTAACGGTACATAAATATGAATATCTTAAATATTTAAAAATACAGAGATAATATTTCAGAAAGAAGACTTAAACTACCGAGCCCTCTTCAAATTGTTCATATATTTATTTAATCTGTTCAAATAAATTAATTGTAGTGTTTTATCTGAAGTAAAAGGTATTACAGTTATATTCAGGGATTCAAGCAAGCTATGGTATACTGAACCTGAAGTTGAAAATGTTACCCTTATGCCCTTGGCCCGTGGCGCCTCAACATTTTCACCTTCAGGTCCAACACATTATATCTTGCCTTCATATCCAGTCAATAACAGCATATTATTCATACTTGTTTAGAAAAAAAAAACATACTTACGGAATAATACCGGTACCAGCAAAATCTCTGGGTAAAAATTAATGAAGGAATTGACCATGTTTCTTTGGAATCAGAGAAATCAGTCAATGATACTTTTGTAGACAGTGAAGTTGCATAAGTTTCCTATACCCATGTAACAGCAGTCAAAGTAAAAACTGCACAATTCTTCTAACATGAATAAATTATTTTAATAATCTTGGAGAAACCGTTGAGCATATAATTATAATTTAGTTCTTTATCAATAATGTATTTTAAAGTCGTTTAAATTATTATAATAATGTTAGATTTAGTTTTTTTTTTCTTTCCTTGACATATTTTTTTCCTTTCAGTTGTCCACAACTATGGATTTTTTAGACTAGTTATCTTTGTATGCAGCTGTTTGAATTGTATTGATTAAATATAGACAACAATAAATAGAAAAGTGTGGAAATTTAATACTTATGTAATGCATGAAACATGGTGATCAATAACGAACAGTAGTCAAAAGTCCTTAAAACAATACAAAACAAGAGCAGAACAAACACGAACTTCCAAACATTTATCATATTAATAATATAACAGAAAAAAAATATTGAGGTAAAAACATTCATCGGAATATTTAAACAGACATGAAAATTTATACGTCAATATAAAATTTGTAAGATGGTTATATAAATATGATTGAAATAAAGACATGCATAAGCTTGGAAAAATCTCTTACAATAATGTGAAATATGAAATGTAAAACTGAAACTTACGTAGTTAGAAATACATTAAGATCATTTGTCGAAGAGTTATGTAAAGTCACTGTATGATTTCAATTTTCATAAGATTAATGCAATGAAAACAAAAGCTTAGCAATGAATAAGCTTGTTATAACCATTTGAAATAGCACAAAATAATATTTGATTTTTTTAATAAATCCGTACTGCGATGTGGTTAGAACGTATGCTTCAAAGTCTAAATAGAAGGTTTTGATGCTTAAATCGCGGGTTCGAATCTTACTGCGGGAAGTGACCCTTCTGATGAGACCATTTAAACAAAATCTCATGTTGCAGTAGATGCTGGTTCAAAAGCACTGGTTACACGTCTAATTTGCAGGCCTCCACTTGCAGGTTTTGAAAAATTCCAAAAGAGATGTTAAATAAACAAAGAAGGTAAAAAATAACGTGTAAATAAAGCAAAATGATGGTAGTAAATAGGAAAAGAACTTTTAAGTTTGATTAATTGATTTATGGGCTGGCCTGGAACCATAGACTGAAAAATATTACCTTTAATCCATTTAACAACTTAATTGAAATAATATAGCCTTTTCAAACAAGAACCTGAATATCCTAAAAAAAAAATTAATTTTCAAGGGATTTTATGGTAAAGATAGGTGATGTAGGAGTCAGTTGATGTTGCAATGATGTGAATGCTGGAGAAAAAAAGCACAGTCTAATCATACGTTTGTGCTATTGTTTTCCTTGTGAATATGGACATTTATTTTGATTCCTATTATATTTCATATTACTCTATGTTTTTATGCAATCCAATTTCCTGTATTTTCGACACAATCTGTGTCCCAACTGTATTTCGGATAAGATTTCCTTTAATCTTTTTTCATTTGCCCATTATATTTTAACATCACTTTGTCCTATAAAATAGTTTTAATTTCTTCTCTTTCGAATTAAAGGAGTGAGATTTTGTTTCTTGGCATCCACAACGCAGCCCAATGTTGTGTAGTGTTTTATCAATTCTCGCCAAATAAGGTTACACTGAAGCAGCTTCTTGTTTCCTACAAAAAAGTGTTCCATTAAAATGTAAAAAAAAAAATTGAGGTGCACAACAGAACCACAGGAGTACAGTACTTTTTTTTTAAATAATGCATGAATAAGTATGGTTTTGATACCAACATTCATATACATGTACTGCAGTTATTATTAACAAGCAACTTTGTCTTTCCATTTTGAAACAGACCGGTACTCGTAGAACAAAAGGGGAGAAACCCTACCCGAACCTACTTTTGGGGGTGAATAGTTTTGATCTACTTTTAAGCTGCTTGGTCTTTGCGCATTTTGATACATTTCAAGAAATATAAAAGAATGAGAGATCTCCCTCATCTATAGCTTTACCGACCCCAACGAAAAAAGATTCTCAATGCCTTTTCGAAAAACCCCCTTTTCACTGTAGTGGGAGTATTTTATAGAAATATATATTTCCACTTTCCAGTAACCAGAACAACACCATTGCAGCTGAAAATCAAAAAACCATACACAGCATTATGTATCTTGTAGTCTTTGCATGTATATTGAAATCAGACAAAATTGTAGGAGGAGTTAGTGTTTTAAAGTATATCAAACAGGCGGACGGAAGGATGACGGACATCAATTGCATTTGCTCTTTCGGTCTCTGACCAGGCCTGGGGACCATAAAACTTAGACGAGCTCCCTTTTGATCTCAAGCATTTTTTTCAGTGTCTTGATTACTTAGAAAATAACCTGTACACATACTTACCTTCTCAATAATGTAATTGATCAGGCCAATATCGTGTATCGTACCTATAATAATAAGTCCTTTCCTCGCCCTAGTAAGAGCCACATTGATCTGATGTTGGTCAGTAATAAAACCCAGGTTCTCTGTGCACCAACCCTGTGTTTGGTGTTCCTCTATTATGTAGTCTGGGAGGGACCTCACAGTGCTGAATATAACGTAATCCCATTCTCCACCTACAAATCAACACGATTAGGCAGGGTTAGATCTGCTATCGAAGACACGTGAAAATTGATCTGTGTCATTATTATACACGCACTTTCTAAAGAAAGTTCAGGTATATTGTTGTTACTCATGTCCGTCCGTCCGTCCGTCTATCCGTACGTCCGTCTGTCTGTCACATTTTTCTTTCCTGAACTCCTCCTACATTTTACATAGTAGCCTAATCATCTTTAGGGAGATGATTGGTGGTGTCATGAAGATGTGCAGTAAGGTTTCGGAATTTTCGTTTTGTCCCGGGTGGTCAAATGGGGGTCGAAAAATAACGTTTTTATGCAAAAAGCCTGTCTTCCCTGAACTCCTCCTACATTTTACTCAGTGACCTAATCATCTTTCGGGAGATGATTGGTTGTGTCATGAAGATGTTCAGTAAGTTTCGGAATTTTCATTTTGCCCCGGGGGGTCAAATGGGGGTCGAAAATGATATTTTATGCAAAAAGCCCCGTCTTCCCTAGACTCCTCCTACATTTAGATAGTAGCCTATTCATCTTTTGAAAGATGGTTGGTGGTGTTATATAGTTGTGCAGTAAGGTTTTGGAATTTTTATTTTGCCCCGCTGGATCAAATAGTGGTCGAAAAATGACGTTTTTTTATGAAAAAATCCACGTCATCCCTGAACTCCTACATTTTACATAGTAGCCTCATCATCTTTTGGCAGATGGTTGGTGGTGTCATGTAGATGTGCAGTAAGGTTTCAGAATTTTCATTTTGCCCCGGGGGTCAAATGGGGGTCCAAAATGACGTTTTTTATGCATAAAGCCCCTTCTTCCCTGTACTCCTCCTACATTTTACATACGAGTAGAAGCCTAATCATCTTGTGGGAGATGGTTGGTGGTGTCATGTAGATGTGCAGTAAGGTTTTGGATTTTTCATTTTGCCCTGTGGGGTCAAATGGGGGTCGAAAAATGACGTTTTTTCTGCAAAAAGCCCCGTCTTCCCTGAACTCCTCCTACATTTTACACAGTATCCTAATCATCTTTTAGGAGAGTTAAATATTTTGAAAATTAGGTTAAACATCAACGTCAAGGGGTAAAAAATCATCGTATGCTGGGAAACATCTTGAATTCTTATATGAGAAATTAATGTACATGTCAAATTTGAAAGTCATATCTCTTCTCATTCAAAAGTTATAAGCAAATGCTACATTTTTGAAAAGTAGGTTAAGCTTCAAGGTCAAGGTCACAGAGTCAAAAGTCATGATTTATTTGGAAAGGTCTTATCACAGGTAATAATATACATGCATGTATAATATGAATGCCCTAACTTTTTCTCTTTCAAAATGATGAATTTATAATGTAATTTTTTTGCAAGTAGGTCAAACTTCAAGGTCACGGGTAAAATAAATCATGCTTTTGTCAAAGGTAAATACAAATACATATGTATAATATGAATGCCTTGTCTCTTCTCATTCAATAGATATGACCTTGATGACCAAGGTTAAATTTATTGAGACAGATGGACAGACTGACATACAAATGTACATATTTCTATGAGAATTGGTTAGAATTGGCCCAGTGGTTCTAGAGAAGTTCAAAATGTAAAAACTTTCCAGACAAACAGATAGACGAAAGACGAAGTGTTATAAGACAACAAGGAAAGCTCAAATAAGTACTTTGAAAGGGTTACCATGGTTACAATATTTGAAAATCTTTTTTCATGCAATTTTTTTGAGAAGCTGAAAATGTATTACATGAATCCATTGTTAAAAAAAATTGAACATTTCAGAAAACAGTATGATTGAAAATAGTTAATCAAGGTGTTTTGAGTAGCAAAATAAAGCTTGTAAACTTTTATAGCTAATTCAACCATAGAACGTAGTCAATTTTAAGATGCACAACCTTTTCAACTCTTATAATGATTATTTTAAAAATATAAAAGTATATCATCATTTCTGATTCAAGGGAGAACAAGAGATATGACCAACATGTTCATGTTTTATATTTTTTTGAGTAATTTGTTTGTTTATTGTGAAAACATCTCTCTCAAGAATTTTTCCCTCATATTGAGACACCACCACTTAAAATTAATAATGTAGACAAGATGTGTTTGTGAAACACTGATGCCCCCCGTATGGCAGCTTATGGTGAAAGTTGAAGTTTCTAAACTGTACGTCAAACTCAAAGGTCAAGGTCAAAGGGTTAAAATTGTTGGTATCAAAAGAAAGTCTTGTCATAAGGAATACAGATGTGAAATAAGAAATCCCTAGTACTTCCTTTTCAAAAGTTAATTGCCAAGGATATTTTTTTTTAAGTGGGTCAAACTCTATGGTCAAGGTCAAACATATGTATACCTGTTGAAAGTTCACATTGAATACACATGTTAAGCATGAAAGTCCTAGCACCTACTGATCAAAATTTAGGCCAAGTTTAAAGTTTGGTATTTTCTTGTAAAAATGGGTAAAAATCCAAGGTCAAGAGATCAAGAGGTCAAAATTGGTATTACCCAAATAAAAGTCTTGTCACAAGGAATTAAACTATGAAATTTGTAAAGCCCATCCCACCCAAAACTCATGGACAAGGTTAAAGTTTCTGCGGACAAACAGATAGACATAATATAAACACAAGAAACAAAATATCTATATAGTCAAATGGAAAAAAAATCTACTATTTTGGAGTCCCAAGATCGATTGTAATTTCAGGGACAGGGAGTGGCTAGGGAGATTGGATCCCCCCTTGGAATTTGCTTTGTTATTTGAATAAGACTGTATACTGAAGCAAATAAAAAATGACTTTGGACATCCTCCCCCTTAGAAAACATTGATCCCACGACCCCACTATCATTTTTTTGTTGTTGATTTGTTTCAGTTTTTTTCTTTGCTTGTCAGGAAATTTGGAGCTGGAATTTTTTTGACTGAGGAGTGAACCCCCCACCCCCTCCCGAAAAAAAAAATCTGGATCTACACCAGTAACTGAATGGCCCATCGACAACGGGAGATAACTTCACAAAGTCAAATTCGTCTACTGTGGTATGCGATGATCTTTGACCCTTTTTGAACTTTAACCTAATCATTTGCATTTCGGTTTATTTTCCTCCAATCTATACTTAAACTTGTACTTACCGACTGTCATAGGTCCTGTCAACTTCATGAAATATAATCCCATTAAAACACAACATGAAACATTTCAATACACACCAAACTGCAACATGTGCTATCCCATTCAGCAAACCTTGGCTGATTCAGTCGCCTTATAAAATCAAGTGAGAATCGGCTGAGGTGTGCCGAGTGGTGCTTAATCTAAAAATATGATAATGGGTGACGAAACCCTATGTGATGTTGAAATGTTCCAAAAGGTGTTTACATGTAAACATGTATAGTACAAGAACAATTTCATATTAATTCATAACAAGCGATGTTTTAACATAACTTTTCCATCTAGCCTATTTAAAAAAAACCTACTGCCGTGTAATTGTGGTGTCGGGATGAGGGGTGGGGGTATTAGTAAATCTAAAAAGTACCTATTATGAGCAAAACATTTATCAAAAACTAATTTACATCATTAATTAAAAGTAGACCACATGGCTCACCTGAGAAGCTTTGACCATGCTATTCTTAACACTATTTCCCCCTTGTAATGCATATTGTGACCCCATCGTACCCCACGGGTCATAATTTGGATAATTTAAAATTTACACTACCCCAGTATGCTTCCTAATAAATATTAGCTTTTTTGACCCAGTGGCTCTTGAGAAGAAGTTTTTAAAAAGATTTTTCCTATATATTTCAATGTAAAACTTTGATTCCCTATTGTGGCCCTGATCAACTCCCGGGGGTCATGATTTGAACAATTTATAATCTACACTTCCTCAGGATGCTTCCACATAAGTTTCAGCTTTTCTGGCCTAGTAGTTCCTGAGAAGAAGATTTTTAAATTTTTCCTATGTATTTCTAAGTAAAACTTGTTTTGCCTATTGTGGCCCTGCCCAACCCCCGGGGGGTCATGATTTGAATAATTTAGAATCTACACTACCCCAGGATGCTTTCACATAAGTTTCAGCTTTTTCTGGCCTATTTGTTTCTGAGTAGAAGATTTTTAATGACCCCGCCCTATTTATGTCTTTTCTTTATTATCTCCCCTTGGGAGAGGACCTGCCCCTTCATTTTTATGATTTAAATTTCCCTTTACCAAAGAATGCTTTGTTTTAAGTTTGGTAAAAATTGGCCCAGTGGTTCTTGAGAAGAAGTCGAAAATGTGAAACTATACAAACGGACAGAGCAGACAGACGGAGAAAATGTGATCAGAAAAGCTCACTTGAGCCTTCTCATCAGGTGAGCTTAAAATTAATGAAAAAATTAAATTATAATTTATTAAATCATTGAAAAGTAATGGGCCAAGAAAAGAACCTTGTGACACTCCCTTCTCATACTAGTAAATTAGATAATGTGGCAGAATCGGTTACAAACTACCATCCCTATGGCATAAACGGATATTGATCGCTGCCTTCTACATAATTTAATATCTTAAAGAAGCAGACTATAACCTTAGCAATGTACACACCTTGACTGGATACCACAGTATTCGATTCAGCATTTTCAAAACCTTTCATCTTGAGTGCTTTGTTTATTACATGGCGCTGTGCATTGTATTGCGTCAGAATTCTAACTGTTGGTGGTGCCAACTTTTCTTGCTTTACCAGATAATCATACAATTTAACCTTAAATGGAAAAGAGAGGTTTAAGTGTCTTATTTTAAAATAACTTTGTTTGTTAACCAAGGGACAATGTCTGGCAATAAAACAAGCACTATGAAATTTAAATGTTTGCTTGAATAAGAGATTACTAGTATTTTACCACATGTTCTACTTCCAACATATTGCTACGTGATTGCGGGTTTCCTTCCTCCGTGGCAACTGCCAGACAGTTCTCTTCCCCTTGAACATGACAAAATAGTAGACGTACATCCGAATCCTTCCACAATGAAAGGGGTTTTTCAACATGCCATTTTTTTTTTTTAGTTTTCCGTAATAAGATCATTTTTGTAAAATTGATTCGATGGGAATTCGCAAATTTTCGGATTCTGAAATAAAATTATATTCTAAGAGAGCTTGTCAAAAGAGTAAGAGTAAAAAAAAAACTAGACTTGTGTTTCTTTAAATATACATGT